GCCCAGCGGAACTGGGTCGACGAGGACGACGACATTCCTGCCTTCGCAGGCGGGCTCGGCCAGATGGGCACATCTGCGTCAGCGAGCTCGGGACTTGGGTCGCTCTCGTCTATCCCTGGGTTCGGCAATCTGTCGCCTGAGCCGAAGCCTGTGACGCTGTCGCCTGCTCCGCGGGGCCACCGTGAGCGAGCTGGGTCGAAGAGGGCTGGGCGGAATAGCAATAGTGGGGCGTCGGGTGGGGGTACTCGTTCGAAGCCAGGGCATTCACCTGCCGAGCGTGTATCGCCTCTACCGTCCGATACAGGGTATGACTCTGAGACGAGGAGTGGACGCCGTCAGCTGCCGGCTGCACGTTCGGGGCCGGCGTTCAAGCACGCAAACGCCATCCAAGAGGAGGATGAAGAAGAAGAGGAAGAATAGACAGTTTCCTCGGCATTTTCTTCGTTACGCTTCTGTATTGGTTTTCTTTTCTTTCTACTTTCTATCCTTACATTCGATTTGCCAGCTTTTTTGCTTTCCTGAATTATTTCGTTCTGGCCTCTGGACTTTGGATATCTACTCCTGCCACTTCGATGGTGTATTACCTATGACCAATTCGTTAGTTACTCCTACTCTGTCCTGTATATTACTCCAACGCGCTTGCGTTATACCCGTTCGTTAGCACATCCCTGCGCTGTAATCCATTTCGACTGTGGAATGCTATGCACGGACTGCGGTCACGGCCAAGTCACGCCGTGGGAATGCTGCAGAAGCAGTGTCAGCAAGGCCGCTTGCCAACGGCTCTGCCAACGACCACCACATTCCCCCCATTACCTCGTTTGATACGGTCGGTATTTCCACCTTACACCCCCAGGACCACATTGTGCTCATCCAATTGCATCTGCAGACCCCCACGCTCTCATAATGTCAGTGTTGCCGCCAGTGACGAATCCCGCTCGGCTGAACGCCCTTGTTCAAATAGGTCTGAACCTTACGACCCCTACCTCCCGCGAAACGGCGCCCCCTCGGGACCCAGTGCAGGTCCGAGCCAGGGAAATGCAAAGACGGCGGCCATCCAGGCCCAAATTGACGACACTGTCGGAATCATGAGGGAGAACATCACAAAGGTCGCTGAACGGGGAGAGCGACTCGAGGCACTGCAGGACAAGACAGGTGCGTGGTTCTGGCTTGGGCGACCTGCTGCGCATATGCTGGCTGCATGGCGTCGCCGTTCGGAGAGCCACTACTGACTCTGATGTGATATTGGGCAGATACTTTAGCGGTGTCAGCGCAAGGGTTCCGTAGAGGCGCAAACCGCGTCCGTAAGGTGTGTTGCTATACTCTCTGCATACCCTCAACCCTCAATCTCATCTCACTGCCTCTAGAACATGTGGTAAGCATCTTGCCGCCTCGCAGTCTCGGCAGATACTCACGGACACGATCGCCCGTCCCTAGGTGGAAGGACATGAAGGTGCGTTTGCCCGCCTTGTCCTTCTGAGGCTACGGACTAACCTGGCACCTCAGATGCGCATCATCATCGGCGCGGCCATCGTCATCATCCTGGTCATTATCATCGTGTCGATTGTCAAGGCGACACAGAACAAGTAATCCTGTACAATGTTCGACCACCCGCCACCCCGACGGTCATATACCTACCTTACCCCGCTGGCCGCCTACGTTGTGTTGTTGTATCTATGCCCTTCTATTAATCCTTTCTGCTTCTGATTCTCAGCCCCACCTTTACGGTTCACGCTGCGGTGACGTTTGCGCGCTTCCTTTTTGAAAATCTTTCTTCCGTTTTACCCATCTGTGGAGGCAAGTCGTTGGGTGAGGTAGGTACTTGCGATTGAGACCAGCCAGGATCGGGGTTGAGCAAAGCAGAAGAGACAAGAAGCTTCCTTTTGGACAGTTAGTTATTCCCCAGTACTTTCACCCTATGATGATGACTTTCCGCCTGTATTTCCCGCAACCGCCTGTTGTCTGTAAGGCCACTATACTCCATGTCTCAACTTTTGTTAACGATTCTCGTAAGGTGAGTAAGACGACAGAAGCGCTCTATCCTTTTTAGGGTGGGTAGAACTGCCGTCTTTTTTTTCCTTCTCGCTTCTTGAGCTAGAAGATCACAACGAACGGCATCTGTTTTCCTGCTCAGGTTTTAATGGAGTTAGACTGTGGGCCCTTGAATGCTAATTAGTTCTGTAGGCAAATGTCTACTCCGCCAGCCCCGAGTTCTTGTCAAGTCAGATCTCAAGTACAAGGGCTTCGCACCCCAACCGAGTTCCAAATCTCGTGCGGAGACACTAGCTCGTGCGTACTTATTATATCGCGAACATTTCTTTGCCATTGAACAATCGGATATTCTATCGCCGACATCCTCATGCAAGGAGCTTGTAAAGGACGAATACACCGTCCGACTTCCTTTCTGAGGCACCTAAGGTCTCGCTCGATCAGACGTAGTTCCAGGACACAGCACTGGATGCGTTCTCCGTTTAGTCATCCCAATCGGAGAACCTTCTGCCTGAAGTTTGAAAAGTCACGGGAAAATACCTGTGAAATGACATCCTGCTCTAGGAGAAAGTATCTTCAAGACCAAAATTGGGAATCCAGGCTCGGTCTCGGAGACCGTTGGATTGATTTGGCAATGCGCCACAATAGGCTCGCTTCGGGATCGTATACATTTTCATGGAAGCAGCGACGCAAACCTCCGGGGGAACTGTTTATTCAAAGCGCAGCTTTATTCGTTTGTCTACGCGGTACAAGTTATCTCTGGATCAATCCTCCGTATTCTTCACATCCATATCGGGTGCTCACGCTCATGAACACACTGTTACAGATCTTCAAGTTGAACTACACGATAAAGGGTTAATTCGTCTCACTGATAGGAATGAAGGCGAAAACTACCTTGATCAATGACACAGTTCCAAGGGTCCGGCTTCGCCGTCTGTATGTGCAATGACACCGCAGAAGTCCTTCGACGGGCTTGTAAAGATCGCACGAGCGGTATAAGGCCTCTGTTTCGGTTTTTCATGAAGGTCATACAGCTTCTTGCCCATCGAATTGGGAAGTACTGGGACCTCAAGGAGGATATAACCCTTTTTCAAATTATTGCAGTGCTTGTTGGGCCACTTGATATTCTTTGTGTTGTAGAACGGTGAGGATAGCCCGACTGTGTTCCTCCGTCGTTGAGAGGGGCGTCATGGGTGGCTAATTCTGCTTTGTTGCGGCTGATGCGGACAGGACCGTACTGGCGGTTGGGGCACGTGTATGTCTAATAATGAGCGAAGGCCATTAGTTTGGCTCTGTTGGCTATGTCCGAGTGAGACTCACGTCTCTGCGTTCTATCACGGCGCAAAACGCAGGATCGATAAATAAGGCCGTGTAGGAGAGGAGGAAAGACAACATCGTAGAATTCAGGGGGGTTGACACCTGACCAGCAGAGTAGGGAAGAGTTGACAGAGGATCTGCCTGGATTTAAGGAAATCGCTATCTCTTCTTATTTCTATCTGGAGAAACGTAGCCGCGCTATGCGCCCACAATACGAAACGCCACCTGAGATAAAATTTGTCCGCTGTCCAAACCCAGGGGTGATAGGCAGGTAATCAGCGGAGCGCCGGAGCAAGTCCGCTGCATTCGAACAGGACGGTTCACTGAAAGAAGTTATATCTTGAAAGATAGTGGGCGTAAGTCGTAATATCCCGACGGCTGTGCTGTCGCGGATACGTAGACAGCGATGTACATTTTTTGGACCGAGAGCAGTGTCTAAGTGAAGGGCGGCGCCTTGGCAGCGCTGGATATGGGAACTACGGTAAATTTGACACGGGGTATGAACGCAAATAGTCATTGAAAGATTCCTATTATAATGTTTCCGTCCATCAAGATCAGCGGACAGACACTGCCATCGAACAACAAGCCATAATAATGGTTGTAAGTATATGACCACCCGTCGCACAATCGTACTTTACACCGTCATGTCCCACTCACCCCGTCTCAATCTCGCAGTTAGAGACCGTTTTCTGAAATGGACGATTACGGCAAAGATCTTCAACATTCTTGACACATATCTGCGACCGTCCTCCACCATCGCACCGATCGATGCTGCTCAAGAGATAAACCAACTTTTCCCGCTCAATCGGCCCACAGAGGGAGAGGAGCCTAACGAAGAGCCTATTAGCTTCCTGTGGGAGATGTGGGAACTGGTCCTAGATGTCGTGTCACAACTGCCCTGGGACCATCCATCGCAGGAAAGATCAATTGACCTACTCAAGGCGCTGCGCTCTTTGCCTGATCCTGTGATGGTCGATATGCCAGGGTTCGGTGAAATGAGAGTGTGGGCTGACCTCCCGATATTACATCCCGTGCTGAACGAAGTTTATTATGGTGGGCCTCATTTTCAGTCTCCCTCGTAAAGTGCTTCGACCTCTAATCGGAAATCCACAACTAGGAATCGACGCACCAGAATTCAAAGAAGAAGAGAAATTCCGGAGCCACAATTACAACACGTTCTGTGCACGTATGATGCGCGACTCCATCCGTAATCGCACAACATACGCTATCTGCACCATGCGCGACGCGCTCGAAGTTGAACCGGACTATCGCGCTCGCGCCTACCATACCCAGGGCCCACAGCTCAACACGTTCGTGCCAATAGCGGCAACGTGGATCATGTTGGCTGGGAACTACCTTTTCCACTGCAGCCAAGATTCGGGGCAAGGTGCGGAAGCGGACAGTCAGAGTATTGCTGGAGGGAGAGGCTGGAAAGGCGCGAATGGGTATTCGTTGGACCGCTGGAGATTCTGGAAAAGAAGGTTCAGTGAACTGAAGGAACAAGATCAAGCAAGCGAAGAAACAAGGGAATTTGCGAGGAAGGCAGAGGATAGGATGAATAAGGTAGAGGCTAACGATGTTGGAAGTTCCTGATGTGACGACTTCTAGATATAAGGGAAAGCGAATTTACAAAAACAATTCTTGAGGTGTCATCTTTCTCCGCTTCCATCACACCACTAACAGCCGGACGCATAAAAAAACAGTCGACGCCTGGAGTCACCGAAGATATTCAAAAGACTCAAAAGCAGAACGGCTTTCAATCGGTGAGTGAATGAGTCCATTTTTTGTCTTTTTGGAGCCGCAACCAACGCCACAGGATCGGACCTCATAAGCGCTAGCGCTCGGCGCCTAGCCCCTATCTAAGAACGAAACTTGACGAAACGCGCAGTGAGCGGGTGCACTACAGGAGCCGGCCCGGCGAGTGACATTTGATCCGCTGCCACTACGGCCTAAATGTGCACAATTACTTCCGAAACACCAACTTTTCTCTTCAAGCCTTTTCATTCAACACCTCTTCACCCGGTACCCACATCAGCCATGACTCCTGCGTTGAAATACGCACTCGCACCCTACGGGAAAGCATTTCTTGGAGACGGCGGATATGTAAGCGTAACTGCTGTTTCCTCGTCCATCTCGAATGCTAATCTCCAACGACCGGCAGAGCGTTGTGTTCAAAGCGACTGAAGAGGGATCCGGTAAACAAGTGGCTATCAAGAAATCGCGTATCTCGAAAAAGGTGAAGCGGTCCTTTCTTCAGCACGAGATCCGTGTGCTGCAACTGCTGCAAGGTCAAGCATCTATTCCCGCTGTATATGCCTACGGTCGACTGCCGCACTTTGAGTACATGGCCATGGAACTTCTTGGACCGAGCGTGGCGCAAATGTTGAAGGAAGGAGCCGGTTTACTGGTGGAGACCGTCATTCAAGTTGTGGATCAAACTGTCTGTGTCTCTCCTTTTCGCGGGACCTCATGGATGTCTGACTTGGACATAGCTCATGGCATTAAAGCACATTCACTCACTCTGAATTGTGCATTGAGACATCAAGCCCGAAAACATTCTCTGCTCGCTTGATGACACCTCGTCTGTCAAACTCACCGACTTCGGTATCTCTAAACTCTTTTCTGCTGGACAGCCTAGCAAATATGATCCACTGAAAGAACGGCGGAACATTGTCGGCACTCTCTACTTCGCAAGCTTGAATTCTCACAATGGAGTAGGTAAGTACAGCTCTTACCCCTCCGAGCCGCAATGAGAGATCTGACGGGTTGTAGATCTTGCTCCCCGTGATGACATCGAGTCGTTGGCTTATACCGCTCTTTTCCTCCTTCGTGGGGTGCTGCCTTGGAAGCCCCATCCACGCCTAGAATTCCTACTGCGCTCGCAAGAAATCGTCCGGCTCCTCAAATCCCGCTTGTCTGGTAATGACCTGGCCACTGGCCTTCCAAAGGAGTTTGGCGACCTGTTCATGTATAGCCGTTCACTTGACTTCGACCAGCTTCCCGCGTACGATATAATGCGGGACTCTTTCACCAGTTTGGCTGAAAGTAAGGGATACCACATGAGCGGGCCTCTCGACTGGACACATTGCACCACACAGGGAGACGGCTCCATGCGGTCCATAGAAGAGCCAGAGGTCTCGATTGACGATGATCAGGCGGATAGCTATGATTCGGACAGTCTTGGTGAAGACAGCTACATCGGCGAGGACATCGACATGTGGGACAATCGGCAAGGCGAACGAGACCAGGATTTGACACTCCCAGCAGAACAAGAAGAAACGCTCAATGGGATCACAGGCGTAATTGTCGAGGTGACACGAATGCGTTGAGCACCCATACAATAAAGACGCTGCCCACAACTTTGCTCTGTGTCGAGGGTCTCTAGCCTTATCCAGAGCTCCAGTCTCATCTTGGACCATTCAATTTTTTTTGTTCTCGTCTCCAGGTTTCGACGTCGTCACAGGTCGTGCAGGCCAATTGAATCAGAAAGCACCTTGATCCCGTGCATGACGTTGATGTGGGTGGCGGGGGAGGAAGGTGGTTGCAGTTGGGCTTGGAGAAGAGGCTAAATAGCAGGCCCTAGGAGTATGGCAGACCATTCTGAGTGATATAATTAGCACACGAGGTCTTGCTTGCGCCACTTCCTAGCTACTCCACTCCCACTCCTTATTTGCTCGCGACATCTGGGCTAAACGACTGTCGCCCAACAGAAAAGAGGCCGCCAATGTAAGATTACACCATACTCAACTGGTTACAGATATCCTAAGGAGCTTGGGCGTAAGTCTCCACAACACGTGCTTTCTCCTTCTCCAAGAATTTGTCGAAGGTGCTGAGAGGGACACCTTGGTTCTTGGCTTCTTCCATGTCAATGCACTTCCATAGCTCTCTCGTAATAAGCTGACCGTCAACAAAGGGATTCGTGCTCTTCGCCTCATCAATCTCCTCATCAGTGTAGTAGTGGCTCTTCAGGGTCTTGCCGCTAGCGTTGGATAACTTCTGGAGAATAACCTCCGGGGTCAAAACTTCATCTGCGTAGTCAATCTCCCTCCCGTGGAACCGCTCCGCGTCCAGGATAGCCGCACTGCTGAAGGCGCCAATGGTCTCGGGGGACACGACAGGGATGGGAGTGTCCTCTTTCAGCGCCGAAGCCAACACTCCGGTGCGAGAAAAGTCGCCATGTTGGGCGACATAGGGGGCAATGAAATTGACCATGAACATGCCTGGGCGGAGGATTGTCCAGTACTTGAAGCCCGCTGTTTGTACGGCCTGCTCGATGTCACGCTTAGATCCCAAAACGGGAGCGACAATTGACTTTGGGTCCCAACCATCCATCCGCTCGGGCCCCTTGGCACCCAGACCGCTGGTGTAGACGACATGTTGGACACCGGCGGCGAGAGCCACGGACATAATGAGTTTGGCCTGTCGGAGGTTGGTGCTCATGTCGGTGAGGTCGGGGTAAAAGTTGAGGAAGATGGAAGTGCAGCCTGCAATTGCGGACTTGAGGGCTTCCTCGTTGTCAAAGTTGCCCGGCCAGAACTTGACGCCGAGGGACGAAAGGTCCTGGGTCTTGGCCGATGTCAAGTCGCGGGTGAGGGCATGGACGGTGACGCCTTTCGAGATGAGATCGCGAGCCAAGGCGCCTCCTTGGACGCCGGTAGCGCCACAGACAAAGACGGTTGGAAGAGACATCACGAGATTGTGGATGAGAAGGATATGATGGGTTGAAGTTGCTCGTCCGAGGGTAGGAGGAGGAAAGGAGTTCCAGAAGGCTGCGACCCTTTATGTCTTCGCCATGCTGCGCCAACTAGAAACGACTTGCACGCAGGCTAGTATAACAATGATTACGTAGATATTAGTCATCTTCTGACTAAGCCTGACGTTCGCGTCATCAACCGCAGGCTTGTGCCATCTGCATCAAGGCTGCGTCCTGACGCTTCTTGATTTTGAACCATCACCATCCGGCCGTGGGAATTCGTCGCCCCCACCATGGCCGCGCTCTACACTACCGAACTCCTCTCATTAATCGGCATCGTCCTCCATCGGGCCCCACTCATCGCCTGATTCCTTATCTATTCATTAAACCAACATCTTTTCTTATTTATCGGAGAAGATCGCGACTTCGGCGTGGTTGTATCCCAATCGCTTTGTTGGAGGCCCGAAGACCTTGTTTATGACAACCTCAAAGCGCAACTGATGGCCCTACTTGACAGGCAGCCCGTGTACTGTCTTGCTCTGCTTTGCGCAGACCTTTCGGGGGCGCAACCTAGTCATGGAAGGCAACCCATGGAGGGAGGAGGCTAGTCTCCGATCATCAGCCGTGTTGCCTATGATCCGGCTACACCCCTTGGGGAGAAACACTAGATATTCGACCGCCTTCGCATGGTAGGGGGATGCTACAGGATGCGTGCCTTAGGGTTTGGGAAATGGGGGAGGAAAGCGGGTGGGGTTGTATCAGAGGGCGGAAGGCATAGTGGAAGGCAGAGTCACTCGTTTCAACATTTCACTTCCAAACCATCCAATCTCGTTAGGGGTACTTAGCACCTACATGTGCTGCCCCCATCAATGGTGTTGGCCTGGCACACCAACCATGCAGGCGACTGACGGCTTGGAAGCTTCGGTGCCCAATGCTGGGAAGGACTAACACCATGAAGCCCTTGATTGTTTAGATTCGGTGAACCGCAAGGAAACTGGTCAGCTCTCACCAACTGTCTCAACAGCTGGAAGCTTCGGCGCCCAATGGGGCTTCAACCAAAGGCGGCGGGTCGAGGGATGGGATGATGAGGAGGGTCGTTTAGGTGTAGCCTACCTCCAAGGGACTGTGATCGAACACCCTATTTTTTGTGTATTTGGAGTACGTCTAAAATACACCCTACGTGGAAGACTTCAAAAAAAAACAAGGCTGCGTCACAGGCTAGCAGTATTCGAACAATAGAGAGTTTGTGCATCAGCCATAGCACCACACCGTGGCTGAATTTCATTGTGCTGCTCCTTCCTTCGGTAGCCAGTGAATTTCTATAGACATATGTACTATGCTAGCAACACATGTTGGACTCCTGAAAGGGTACTTGACAGTATCCAAAGAAATGTGCAGGGGAGCATGGTTCAAAGAGACGAACTTTTTTCCTCGGGCCGAGCCACCCGTGGCTCCGGGGTGAGACGTCAGTTTTCCCTCCTTTGTGCTGGCAGGGTCTGAGTTTTCTTTGCCAATACCGAGCTTCAATGTCCATAATATATTATCATTAAAATGGGAGACTATTGAGGAAAGCTTTCAGTAGAGCTACCTCTGTGAACCTGTGGCTACACGGTCATGCACAATGAAAATCAGCCATGGGGTGGCTCTGTGGCTGTTGCACAAACTCTCTAATGTCTGCACTCCATCACAGCGCAAGTCATGCTCCACATGTATCCAGTTACCAGACCACGTCACTCCGCAAGTCTAAACTAACCGTCTTCATGTTGCCTGCTGTGTATTAAACAGCACACCCAGGTACGTCCTACAAGTTCGGTACTCCAGAATACAATGAGCTCCTCCCAGCGGAGAAGAGACAGCCAGGTTCGCGCTCGCTAATCATGCGGTCGTACAGAAAGTCGGAGCCGTGAGTCGCTCACGAGAATCAAACTGCTCCAGTCCTACGGCCACTCCATGCCCTTCTACGTGTTCACGTCTGACCATACACCCCATCACCTCCCCTCCCACCTCTCTCTCCAACGCCATCGCCACCCCAGCGTGGCGAGGGATTGGGGTGTGGACGACGAGCTCCTCATGTCGCAGTTCAGGAGGTGACGGGTTTCATGCTGATGAAGGACTGATGTACTTCAGAAGGAGAGAGCTCCTAAGATCCTCACACTGCGGGCATTGGCGCATATTTACTAGCATGTATAGCATGAACATATGTGGAGGTTTGTTTAAATATATAATTACATATTCACTCAAGGCATATTATGAAAGACCTTTTAAATATTGCAATTCATCCTCCTCAAATTATTCTACATGAATAGGCAAAAATATGCAATGGACTATTTGCGTTGGAAATATTGAAATCAAATTTTGTGACAATTACTCATTCGGGATATTTTGTCTCAGGGAATTGAAATTACTAACTATGGGAATACCTGAACTGAGCTGGGAGTCCGCAAACCCAAGCTATCAAGAGGATAACATGGAGATCTAGAAGTGAAGGTAACTCACCCAAAGACAACAAAGCTGCTAGAGAGGCAACAATATAGTTCAGAAGGGGCACATTGGTCAAGGAGCAGATGTATGATACAATTAGTACAACACAGTACAAGTGTGGACCTCGGTCAAATAGAAGAGATGTTCAAGATATTGTAATTTTTGTGAATGGGTCCCGCTACTCAGATGAGTCTTACAATGCACCTGGACCGAACTTGCTGGGTAGGATGCTGAAGCAGGACTGGACTGCACGGCATGGAGAGTCAGTCGTAGACAATGAATTCAAGAACTATCTAACACACCACTTCTAGTAAACTCTCAGAGCTTGACGATCTTACACACATGATCAAAATAGGCGTTCTTCACTGTCCAACGATCAGTTGTCTCGTGGTCTCGATGCTGGAAAGTCAGGTCCATCCTATGCTCATCGTCGAAGGCATGAATGCCACTGAGATAAGGACGCTGTCCGCGGGCATCAAAAATCCTCACCGTGTGGTGCAGAGTAGCCGACGTAGCACTTCCCTCTGGGATGCCTCTACATGAAGTCTTTAGATGAGAATGATAAACAACATTGGAGTGTAGTTACCACATGAGGACTACAAAAACAGCTGTGGTTCCCTCCCCGCAGGTCGCTCAAATCTCGTCAATGATTGAAGAATCTTGAAGTGCTTGTGTCAAAACCCGCCTCGCCAAGTCCGCATCCCAGCCTTCTTGCTGAGTCACCTCCATCTTGACATACAGTCGCGACCTTTCTCTGCCACAGAAAACGAACGAATTCATGGCGCTTGCAGTCCCGAGTTCCAAGGAAAGAGACGGTATTTGATGTAGGCTGCGGTGAGAACAGGGAACAAGGTTTGATGAACGTATTGTTCCCATTGCTACTTCAACGCACATTATCTTTGCGTCAAAATATTTTAAAGCAGGGTAGAGAACAAACCTCCGCTACTTTGCCACTTACTCAAAATCCCTTTTGTCTCGCCAACAAGACGTGCAAGAAACCTACTCGACGCCGACAAATGGAAAAATCACGCAGCCCAGAGCACAAGATGACTGTCACAGACAGCGTATCAACCATCCACTTCTCCTAGTGCCGACAGCGACAACAACAAAGTTAATCCATCCTATCGACCACGTATGTCTCACGGAGCTCGCCCCATTCTGTTTGCCCAAAAGCCTCTCCAACCCAAGAATGCACCAAAAACAACGATCGGCAAAGATACTTTGACTTTTGGTACTGGATACGACATTCTAGACAGCATCTGGCATTGGGTAATACGGTAGATTTCGTTGAGCGCGACGTTGGACATTGGGTACTATGAGTGGTGTGAACAGGTTCTCGGATCTTTGCCATCACCCTAGTGTGCAGTAGAGTTCGTCTCGAGGCCTCGACATACTGCTTCATGCTCTGTCGTTCTGTGAAATTCTAGGCTGGCACCTTGATCGATCCAGCACTCATCTTCCTGTTCAACACGTGACACATCTTTTGCATTTCCATTGTAAATTTTGCCACCCTGTTGCACATCGCTCTAATCCATCCACAAATTGCACAATGACAACGAAGAGGAACTCCGTAAACTGCATTGTTCACCTACGTTCGGCCCACAGTGGGCAACGTCCAGCTGGTCCTTGAGTGATGCCCGGTGTGGGCAGCTCTTGCACGGAATTCTATCAAGGGGGCTGAGATGGGCACTTGAGAGAGATGGACAGGAAATCTAGAAGGCTGTTGTTTAAGTTGTCAAGATTAGGGTTGAACAGAGGACATGCTCACCACTTGAACCCATACTTTCTTTTGACCTTCTCATTGACATTAGCTCATGGCACCTCAGTGGAGAAAGTCAGAGACAAGCCCATGAGGCATCTCCATCCAGTATGACAAGAGTGGCTCTCACTGCTCCCTGTACATACCTATATATCTTCCCTTTTCAGTTGGGAGGTGCTGGAAAAACATGTTGAACATCGCACAAAAAATGCCATCTGATCAAAAAAAAAATTTGTCGCAGGAGATATGGTAGAATACAAATGCATGGCCACTCTGTGAAACCTTCCCTCAAATGAAAATGATTGCCCAACTTGTGAAAATGAATTTGTACAAGGATAGAGATCAGCGAAGGATGAGGGGGACTCATGCACGTCTTCGTCTAGCTTGTCACATTCATCTGTGCAGCAAACCTTATTTCACAACACCTTTTGGTCGATTAGCTCGATCAATGCCTTCTCTATGCCGAGATTCGCTCTTCTTGTAATGACCTGAACAGAGGGAGGGACTTGGCCTCAGCATGCTCTTGTGCTGTGCCCCTACACATCATCTGGTTGTCCCCAATTTACAGGAACTGCCTTGGTCTTGACAAAGGAGAGACAAGAAGAAGTCATCCTGGCCAAGGCCCAGGAGACAGAGGATGAACAACAGAGCAGAGGGGTTGTCAAGGTTGAGATTCAAGCTGGGGAATCCAGTACACTACCTAGCTACTTATACTATTGAGAACAATGGAGAAGATCTAGGTTATGTAATGAATGCCAGCAGAACAATGACAGAGAACAATGAAGACAATAATGAATGAAACAATGAAAGTAAAGCCCATTGAAGAACCAGAACAATGAACAATGGAACAATAGAACAATGGGTTCAGGAATGGGATGTGACACTTCTAAGATCTCCAGAACCTCTGTTGTTGTCTCGCCATTGTGAGGTTGCCACAGGTTGGCGTCCAAGAACGCGAGGCTTCTTGGGATCATTGCATTTCTCAGACTTCAAGTTGAAACCAATTTCAGCGAAAGGTGTCCAATGTCCAAAATCCAATCCAGAGTGCTCATATGTCTTAAAACGTGGGTGCCATGATTTTTTTGCAATTTGGTCGCCATTACCTGTAAGAATATTCTTTTAGTGGCTCATCACACTCATTGAATTGGCCTTACCCATCATGCAAATGTTGAGGCCCGACAAGATTTCAAGCTCGTGTTCGGTGAGTTGATCATCGATGTATTCTTTGCCAGTAGAAGGTTCCCGGACAACCAACATCTCCTCTGGCTTTGTTGACCAACCTGTTGGACCCAACATCACAGAGTCCAAGCTGACGCTGGATATTGCAATTCTCCATATATATCCTCCTGTCAGCAAGGCTGCCCTTCCATGGGGAGATTTGAGGAGTTCTCCACATCTGTCCAGGTATGCATGATAATCGTCGATCGTGAAAGTGTATGATGGAGGGTGAAAAGGGTGCTTTTGTTGCAGCTTGGACACGATAGGGGCTCGACGGACTGTTGATGAAAGCTGCAAAGTTCGGAATGGGATTCCATTCTGAACAAGGTAATGTGCAAGCTCATACTCCTTCCATTGCAGATCCAAACGACAAAGCATCAAGGCATGGGACACCGACATCATGCAAATTTTCCATGGCTCAGTTGCTCTAGCTCCGAAGTCAAACAAATAGAGTGACTTCGACTTGTCCCCGTCTGGATGCACCACCCTGATGCAGGCGAAACGTCGATTGATAGATAGAGAACGATGATGGCCAGTTCCAAGGTCCCATTCAACATCCTGGATTTTCTCTTTTGAGATAAGCTTTTTCAAGAACCTGGCAGCTGCCGCAATGGATGGGTGGAAAAGGGTCTCTTTTGAGGCTGCTATCCAAGGAAAACCTAGGAGCTTCAGGAAATTCTTCTGGTCATTCTCTGCTGACAAGGATTTGATCGAAGAGAGGGTACCGGTGTCCGGGAGGATGAAGCCAAACCACACTCGGACTGTTTCCAGAATTTCCTCCTCAAAAATATCATGTCCTTGCTCCAAGTTAACTAACTTGGACAGTTCCTGAGCTGCAAGGGTCCAATCAGAGACATGGCTTTCATGATCTTGGTGCTCAACACATGGTGACCGAGGGTTGGAGTCAGGAATTTGAGCCACGTCCAAAGCGACAGCAGCGTTCAGTTGTTCCTCTGTGATTTTGTAGGTACCAGGGTAATCAGATCCGTCGTCATCTGAGTTGTACTCTCGCCCAGGCCCAAATTCCTCGCAAATGTCATACTCATTTCAGAAAGAGTCATATCGAATCTGGGCTGAAGAATAGTTGTGAAGAATCTCGATCTTGTCCCTGCCTAGAACAGCTTCGTGCACGAGTCGACCGTTGATATCGTAAGTCCATTTGAACACCTTCACCTTATGGGTAGGAGGACGCCACTCTCGGTTGAGCCTCCTCTGCTTGTCATCAGCACTTTCATTCTCCATAATGCCCTCGTTGGCCTTCTCACGGCATTGAAAAAATTCCTGCCAGGTGACGTATTCTGATGTCCGTGGCTCGGAAGATCCTGGATCAGCGACGATGGAAGATGAGGCAGCAGCAACAGTCCTTTCAACACTGGCATCAGCCGATGATATTACGGCCATCTGATCAGTATGCTGGAGTGACTTGATATTCAGATTGTCGTCCACTTCTTCCGAGATCGCGGTAGGTTCCATTGTTGGCTGAACAACAAGGAAAGTCGCTGCTTCCTGCATCTGGTGTGGTAAGGGGCTATACAATGACAAATGCTGGCTCTTGGGGTAATCCTCCTCCCAAGGATACCAGACCGGAATACCAAAATGACACCACCATTCCACAGAGGGCTGAGCACCATGTATTGGAGTCAAATGTAGGAAAACCCCAGTCTGCAATGTGAAAGGCGAGAAGTCACAGATGCACAAGGATCTAACAGTGTCCAGCCAGACCGGGTTACATTTCCATTCAAACAGAAGTTTTGTCCACTCTAAAATTGCAAGGTGGGGGTACTCCTTCCACCTATTCTCTTCCGTCTGAGCACTGGCCACGCGTACGAAAACATGCCCATCCAGATGATGTACCAGTCACGTGCCTTTTCGAATGAATGCAGAGCAGCAGTGGCAGTTTTGTGAAGCTTCTTGTACCCAAAGGCAAATGGTAGTACGGGCTTGATGATGGCCATCCTGAGTTGAGCACACAGGTAGCAAATAGCACAAGCTAAATCTTCCTCCAACCTCTCCATTTCTTCAATGACCCACACAGGCAGCTTGTAGCCTTCTTCAGGCTCTTTCACGGGGTAAACATGAGGTGTGTGCGCAAGGAATCCAAAAAGCGGCCCAAAGAAAGGCAGAGATCTGGGAATGAAGGCTGTCCATCCCCATCGCAAACTCCACCATCTCGGGGACTGGTAGTCTTGAGCATTCAGGGATGATATATCATACTTGCTAGGATCATTCTCAGCCCTCTTCTGTGGGATGAAGATGTTTTCAAAATAAGATTTCACTGTCTCGTGCTCCATTGGTGGAAGAGAAACATTGCAAGAGCAATTTGGTGAATAAAAAACCCTTCTGTTAAGAATATACACCCTCCCCTGCGAGCGATCTAAGTTTCTGTTTAAAGGTCAGACGAGGTATTTGGACACAATATTCAAATAGTACCTTTCCATAGAAGTCATCACAGCAGGCAACGCCAACTGTTCTCGGTGGGACTCTAACTCACTCGTTCATTGTGTTTGGAAGGATCCAAGACACAAAAACATGCAGGAGTTAAGGATCGAGACAATGAAGTAGTTCGTATGGGAGGGAACTGTGTTTGGAAGGATCCAAGACACAAACGCACGTAGGGTGATCGTTGGAAGTCAAGTCGCACTGTTGAACTTGAGTTGAACTTACTAGTGATCCGAGGACAGGCTATTTGCACATGTATGGCTCCACGTCAGAACAAACAACGCGAACACGAAACCTCTCTTCAGTGCACTGTCTGGGCAATACATGCTCTACAGTTATGGCCCCATCCCTTGCCAAGTCAACGTACTAAACTAACAATGAGTTTTTCTTTCGTTATGCAAACTGAGCGCTTACGAGTAGAACAGATCTAGGTCCCTCTCCCACTCGGTCTTCTCGGTTGTGTCTTGGATTCTTCCAAACACAGCTTGGAGCCTTGGACTCAACGGACAACATATCTCTCAGAAAGAGGCACTTTTACACCAACATTTGCTGTTCTCTTGTCTCGGATTCTTCTGAACATGATTCTTCCCAGCCAGGACTCAGCACCCCGCCTTCGCAGTCAGTACCCAGCTATCCATCTGCATCTTCCACAAATTCTTGTTGGTATTTATCCTCAGTGTCAGGATTTTTGGTCAGCCTGACGATACCATGGGCTAGCAATCCGTACCACTTGACCTTGGTTTGTTGGCGTGCACACAAGCCTATAAATATTCCTAGGGCCAAGTTACAAAATTACATTGCTCAACTGCTAAATTGATCGTTTGAACTACCAAAGCCTCTTTATTTTTTTGGCCATGTAAAGATCAACGAAGAGCACGTTAGCCCCTTCACGAGTCGTGACACAGAGCCTCTTGCCAGCCCTATTGCCGACTGCCTCGAGGGCAGCAGTTCTATTTCTGATTGTCAGTGAAGGTTCCAAGGACATTTAATTCCAGCACATACCTGCCAAAATATACACCAGGGTGTTCACCCTCTATAACGACATAATAGTTGTTCGTCTCTACAACAGTCGGAGCGATCGGAGCTGGATGGCACAGTGATGATGCTGCGGCAGCTGGCGTTGGAGGTCTCCGTTGCGTGTTGTGTGGAGGATGTTGCTCAGCTGGGGATGGGCGGGGATGTTGCGCGTGTGCGTGGGGGAAGCAGGGGGCAAATGATTGCTCTGTCCACTCTGCCTAGTGCGGAACCGTTCAGCTGCCTGAGGGCCAATGATGTCATGGACCAATGCATGATCCCATGCGCTCAGCGCCTCGTCTATGGAGGCATATCCCCTGTAGCAAGCACCGCTGAAATTGTTTACCTGTGCTTGAGCCGCACTCCTGGTCCTGTGAACAGAAGGCAACGGGTGATAAATTTAGCTTACCAGGTACAGAAAACACCCGTCTTTCTTCCATAAAAGATGCAGTATGCAAGGAACCGTCACTGTGATCGTGTCTGCGAAGGGAAGTTGGGGGAGCTGTGAAGGGTATCGTCCAGCTCCGGCTCATACTCGTTTTGAGCAACACTCTGTGCGTTGGAACTGAATTCAGGGCTGGTTCTCAAGCAATCTGCAAATTTAAGTCATCAACATATATATATATCAGCAAGAAATTTAAATGAACCAGCTAATGTTTCCTGTGGTAGGGGCATCATGAGGGAGAGAGCACCAATTTTTCATGTTGGGGAATGTTATCTGATTATGTATAGTCTGGAGACAAGGCATCCAGAGAGACAAGGCTGAATAAGGTGTGTTGTTTGCAGCTTCTCATGTGTTCAGGATTAACTCATCAACACCAGTGACCATAATAGAATCAACATTGCCCAACCCAACCTCAACGACATAGGGGCACATGCCCGATGTCACAGAGGATGTCAATCCCTTCCCTCTTGCTCTTGAGCCATGTTGACTCGCTCTCGATGTAGGGGCATTGCCTGATATCGACGTTCAGCATGACATTCACTGTGGTTTGCATTTGTGTTAACAATTACATGGACGCTCGTAAGGACGAGGTCTGTCCGATTCCATCCCATTAGTCTATTTCTCCATTCAATTCCTGCCTATCTGACTATCTTTCTGTCAGCAGTGGCTGGACTTGAATTCAAAAAAAACATACTCACCTGAAGATGTCGTTGGCCAGTGTAAAGTCGTACGGCCAGGCTAGAGGTGACACCGTCGTGGAGACATTGGGGGTCTTGGCGAGCCAGGGCTGTGAATATGCGTTGATTGGCAATCCCGCCACGAATCTTTCGCTTGTGCTGAACGGGCCCAGAGCATAGATGCGTAGATGAGGGAGAGCTCCTCTGATCCTGGTCTTCCTTCTTTCCATCATGTACACCGAGTCAATGGCGTGCAACCAGCTTGTCAAGGATGGCGACCTCCACTCAGGCATGCGTACCCGATAACCCACCATGTCCCCATCGACATCAGTGTCTGACTCGTCACTGGACATCCCGTTCACTCCCAGGGCCTTGATAATACGAACATGGTGCTTCAAGAACTCGTTCCATTGTGCAGTCCTCAACTGTCGGTGGTATAGCTATGTAAGCCGTTAGTATCTCCTTCAGCTCCTTTGAGTTCAACTCACTGAATCTCTCCTCAAAGCTCGCCTGTTTCTCTGTGCAGCTGCAGCTACCGCAGCATCTCCTCGCATCTTGAGTTTGAGCTTACATTGGAGATATTTGAGGTGCTGGAAGAACAAGTAGATTACTCTCCTGTGGGTGCTCGAAACCAGATTGTTTTTCTTGATAAAGTCAAGGGCGAAGACTTCAGCTGCCGAACGATTCCATGCACTTTGAGCTTGCCCTTGGAGATCGAGTCGAAACATATCGGAGTCGCAGCACTGTCGTTCTTTGTGCACACCATTGATAGCACATCTTTCTGCGTATTCAGCCACCTCTTCAGGCGATGCCTGATGGCTGTATCCAGATCCATCGCCTCCCAGCAACTCCTCAAAGTGATCTCGTATCTGCTCCTGAGACAAAGCATGAGTGGTACCTCCGAGAAACGCAAACAACAAAGCTTACCTTTTCAAGGTTTTGAGCATTCGTCCATCTCCTAACATCGCCGCCTTCTCCTGCAAGGCCACCAGGTTGTTCATCCTCGGACTTGTAAAGATCAGTGATCTGGGTGTCCACACGTTCTATAATTTGGTCGACCAGCTTTCTGAGGTTTCTGAGTAGCGCAAGTTGCCCTTGACATGGTCCTTGGGCCTCTGGACTTGATGTCTAGATCAAACATTCTCAACACTCGGTGAGCGGTTGGACATGAAAGAGGGTGCTACGCACCACATTGTTGCAGCCTTGGTGCGCAATTGGCGCCCTTGTTCCTCTCTTGTTCCTCTGCGGCTTCGATCAGCATGCATGCCGGTTTGTCAATGTTAGAAAGTTGATAGACCCACAGGGAGGGCATGACCATCACTTTCATCATCCGCGTCGTCATCGTCTCCGCCTTCATGATGGTCTGTGGCTCGAGCCCTT